GTTCCGTGGAGATCCATCCCAGCTTGGCCATCGTCTCCTGGGTCTTTTCCTGCTCGTCAGGCGGGCCGAAAACTCTCGGAACAGGCAGGTGAGCAGGCTCACTCTCATAGGCTCTACGGAATCTGGGTCCGATTCCTTCCGTTCCCGCCATGCCTGCTGAGCCTTGAAAAGCGCTGGCACCACCGATGCCGGGACCCCCGTGCGCAGAAAGAGCGCATAGGACGTCTCTGGTCTCAGAGCTCCTAGATAGTCCTCGTGTCTGAGTGCCAGCCTCTGCAGTTGGAACATACTGCTTCGGAGGTCCTTGATTTCCTCAAGAAGCTCAGACCGTCCTCGTCGATCCTGGCCTTCTCCTCCTCTGTTGCCCCAGGCATCAGATTGTCCCCAGCCGTCGTTGTAGGCTCGCTTTGAGCGTCCCCAATTGGACCACGGATCCTCCTCCTTCTGGGAGCCCTTGCCTCGTTGCTGCCCCTTCTGTCCAGCAGAAAGCTTGGCCGTTTGGGATCACGACCGCCTTCGCCCTCCGTCCCAGTCGTGGATGGCGGTGCCGTGCTTTGGCCATCCAAGTTTACTCCAGCTGGAAAGTAATTCCGGAACATGCTTTCCTCGATCTGTGAGGCCTTGTCCTCGTCCATGTCGGTGTGGAAAATCTCCAAAGGAGCAGAGGAGGGCTGAGGAGGTGCTTCAGAGCTCAGCATCGCTTCAGCCATTGAATGTACACGCTCGATTCCAACATCCGGCTCATGCTGACGGTGGTAGCAGGGACTGAATCATCTGTGTACATCCAATGGTCATTCACTTTGAGGAGCGCACGATAGTGTCCGCTGTGGGTTTGCCTGCCAAGATGTATGATTGCTGAAGTGACAACATATTGGTCCCACGCAAGCTGTAGATTTTGCGTAAATCTGGGCACATAGACCGGCCTGTCGAATCGTACCGGTGTAGTGAGTTTTGTGGTCTGATCCAGCCTCAGGTATCTGTTGAGCTGAATACATATGCACCTGCTTTCGTGTGCCAAGGCATGTGAGTCCCCATAGGTGCTCCAGTGTGTAATCACATCCTGTAGCTCCCGCGCCTGAGGAGGTAGCGGCATTGGAATGGGGAGATCGCCTTGAGCTCGAAGTTGCAATCCTGCCAGACCAAACTTACGAGCATCCCATTGTACTGAGTGCAACTGCTGTGCCTGCAAGAGCTGTTGTAAATACTCTGCCGCATCCTTCTGCACCTCATCATAAACCCATGTAGGCACTAGCTGACGAAACCTGCTTCCTTGTGTAAGCTTTATTGGTAGGTTCCTTGCCACCGCATTCTGGGCCAAAGTGAGGATCGGCTGGAGCGG